CTTCATTGGTTTTAGCGGGAGATGACCGTTTGGATGGAGTTGGTCGTTTTTCGCTTGATAAGAGGTTTCCATATGTTACGTATCTCTACGCTAGTGGACTAGTTCGCTGCCGGTTCATTTCAATGTATTGTTTTTTTTTAGCCTTTGAGAGTGCCGCCAACTTTAAGAGTGCACAATATCGTTTACTTCGACTATACCCGCTCTATCATACTCATGTAGCCAATATGAACGTGTCCGGAAAAGATTTTTAAAATTCCTACCATTCAAAACAACTGAAGTATATCCTAAAATTGGTATAGACTACTCCCTTCTACTCAAAAAGTTCATCTTTATGTCTCTGAACTCACGTATGATTTATTCAGCATCATATTTCTCTATAACTTCAAAGGAGAAGTTATATGCGAAGATTTATTGTCTCAAATGAATTTTTCTGTTCCCCAGTTCAATTCAAGACACCACATAACCTTTCATTGTGATAACTACAAAACAAATGTTACACGTAGATCGCCTGTCGTGGTTATGTGTCAGACTCTTTGATTAAATAATGTTCATTCTTCGAGAACCCTAATGTAATTTCTAACTTCAATTCGTAATTTCAAGAGTATCATAATCATCACAAAAATCACATAAATAGGACTTGGCATTTTTATCGTATACTTTCTTTTTTAATATATACCATTATTTCCCATAATATTTGTAATTTAGTAAATAGCAATCAATTATCATTCTTCTGAGTTGAGTGCTTATATACTAGAATGTACCATTTCCTCTAATTGGATATTTACGAGTAAGTCTGTTGGAAATAAATGAATTTCTATCTATCTATAATGAGTAACATTGTTTTTTGTTATTGCCTGGTTTGATATTCGAATCATCCAACAAAGCACGCGAGATAGATTTGATCAATTTATGACCAGCAGAAGGCCATTCATTTGATAATCACTAGAATTGACTGTCATAACCTAGCTTAGTGATTATCTCTCTTAATTGTATATTCGTTGAAACAAAATTGATGTCTTAGGTACGTACCTATGTGAAAAAAAATCATAACGTGATGTTAAAAGGTAATTAGATAGTTGAATTGCGTTAAAGATTGTAACATATAGTTATAAAACCTTTAAATCTCGATAATCTTCTAGCAGTGATTTGACATTTGTAATATATTATCAGTTGAAAAACCTTAAAAATCATCGATATTCGCATATTCGAGTATGATTTCCAAACACTACGGCATTCGTTGATGTAATTCATTTCATGAATATTCACAATAGGTTTGTTCACTAATCAATTTTTTGTATTTCTATTTTCTTTGATAGTGCTTGTCATCCACAATACAATGGCAAATATTTCAAAACGATAGACAGTAATTATAACTGTAATTATAACAGTAATTACAGTAAATTGATAATTGACATTATGACATTTGAAGTTTAAAATTTGAAAATTGACAGTATAAACCAAAACAGGATTACCAAAAGGCACACCAACAGCAATGTTGACACTAGCAGTTTCAAAAAGTATCTGAATATGGATACAGTGCTGCCAAGTACTCATAAAAGAAGTGAATAACAAGAGTACTTTTAACTTGCCTCCAAGTCTTTCTGTTAGAGAGAATCTTTCAAAATGAATGACCAGAATACGAGGAAACTCGACTTTGTGAATTTTTTCCTTTCGTTGCAACTCGAACACGTCGGTTTTTCATGCCCATCCAAAGTTTCCTATCTTGTGAAGGAATCCGAGCGTTATGATAAACTCAACTGGCCAGTTCTTTGTGGTACAGGGAGTGATAAATTCCAGAAATGATCCAAGGTTACAGATGAGCGTCCACAGTGTGTGCACTTCATTATGAATTTCTTATGACCAACGAAATTATCTATAATATTAGAGTCATATGTACTCAAATAAATCAGCCATGTCTCTTGTGCTTTTTCGCTGTCACTCAATTTTTTGTCAATCTACTTTGAGATCTGTTTAGGTTTCTCATTAACTCTATTAACGTTATCATGTAAACCTTCTAAAAGATAATGAAGGAACTCTTGGGCGTCTTTATGCGCATGACCCATGAATCAAGGGGCAAAACTCTGCATCTGAATGTTCTGTGTTCACTGCTCTATCAGATGAATCTCCTGACCACAATTTCTTGATAACTTCTGCGAACGCTTTGATTAAAGCACCCTCCATACTAGAAATACTAGTATTGATATCTTTCATGTACTCATCCTTTTTTACAGTATCCAGTAACCATCTCGTATTTGATAAACACTGGATTACACTGTTCATGAAACAGGTGTTGCCAATATTTTTCAACCCATTAAGCCCAAGGGTTTTGTCTGAAGAATGTATCAATGATCTAATTGTGTTGTAGCTGTCTTTTTTTTCCATGTGAAAACTGTAACAACACTTGTCAATGTTCATGATCAGTATTAACAAGGGATGTTAATGGAGAACTGAATCAAGTGGAGGCTTGCAGTGACAGTGGAATCCAATACTATAAAAAAAACAGGCATCAATTGTGGCGGAATCGAACATCATAATTTTGGGGCGCACAATTTCATTAGCGGTGTCAGTTAATTTCTTGGGTCTTGAATTTGATACCAATATGTCTTGTTACAATCACGTTACTGAGTAACAGAGACACATATCAACAACTCATAATGACCAGTGAAGCCTTACATGTGGAGATTCAAATATGGTAGGTAACACTGAGAATTTGGAAAGTGTAAGGAAAAGTGGAGACTTGTTTCTCTTCTATATGAACATTCACGTGGGGGTTTTACTGATTTGGCCTGCTTGATTTCACAAAGAACGGTATATATCACATGTACGCGGCAAGATTTTATTACTTTTTGTTGTGAGATCCAACTCAGAATTCTTCATTTCTTGTAAATCATTACTTTTCCATAAGAACACGTTTCTTAGAGCTTCTCAAGGGCATAAAAAAACTCCCCCAATAAAAAAACAGGAAAAATCTGGTTTTCTTCATAATCAGGAGACTGATTGATCATTAACAATCCTCCATTTGATGATTTTAATGAATATTAAATATGTTCCAAGAATTACTGCGCATGAATTATTTTTTATATTTATGGATGAGTCTCCAATTTACATCAATACTTTACGATGTGATTACATAACACCCAAGCTTTCAGTATCAAAAAATATTCAATAGAGAAAATTCATAGTATAGAAAGAAGGAAAAGTGGGAGAAGCTGAGCAGAAATAATCATTTTCACATAAAGCGAAGAAATATTAGGAATTGTGATAATCAGAATTTCAATAATGAGTAGTGAATTGATTTTTGAAGAGATAACTGATAATTTTTTATGGTATTAGGGGGGGGGGAAACAGCTTCCTTAACTAATGCGTTACAGCGCCAGCCTGTCTGGCTCCTTTTTCTATCACGCTCACGTAAGCCAAAGGCAGGTTCCTCCTCTTTCGTCGAATAAACGCTCACTGTTTAGTGTAGAGATATATTGTTGACATTATCATGAACATCTAACCAGCAAGCAGGTGATATTCTGATATTCTTGCATATTGTGAAACGTGTTTTAAAAATTATGACAAAAAATTTGTGTATGTACATTATTGATTTCATTATTCATTCCTACAAAAGTAAAAATAGACTTATGATAGCTATAATAAGCTAACTTCACAAACAACTTGTTTCAAGTGTGGCGTTGGATTTTGTTACAACAAAAAAATAATTGTTTTCTTCAGTTTCATACCACCTAAATATTGACAGCGTACACATGGTGTTGCATTTCTATAACACATACAAAAATGTATTGAAATGAAATGAATTTTTTTTAATATTTTTCCATTCACGAATATAAAAAATCATGTAATGAAGGGTTCAAGGTAGATGATATTTCAACAATATTTGTTTTTGAAACTATCAACAGTATATTTTGATATTTCAAAAATATACGTACGGTTTCCAGAAACTTCGATGGAAATTTTATTTTACATGTTTTTGAACAATTCAGGGTGCCATATTATCTTGGAACAGCAAATTATAATATATTGATTATCTGATAATTTTTATACAATAATTGTCTATGAAAATATAGGTGCCTGGAAGAGTTTATCGTCAGATTTTCGAGGTTTGAAAAGGTTTCAATAATTAATGTATGTGGCTACTATTCATTCAAATGAAAATATTCGAACAAGTTCGAAATGACCACAAAAGTGACTGTATCATTTTCATGTTACAAAAATCTGCTATTGTGAGTTTGAAAAACATTCAGGGAAATTATTACATGGTTTGTATCCAGGTATTTTAGAATTGAAACATTATTTGAAAAATCAGATGACAATTTCAGACTGAATTCATGTAATTACATCTCATGATCACTTCTGAGCAAAAAATAATAATTCTTCTTTCTACTAGATATTTTCAAACGAATATGTTTAAGAAACGAATATCTTTTCTTAATTCCATACTTTCATGAGTCATCTTACCTAATGCAATAATTTTGTGGCAGTCCATATTTCAGAATGAAAAAAATATTAGAAAACAACAGATAAATAATTTCAAATTAAATGAATGTAATTGTTTCAAATTATCACCTTAAGTCAGAATAGAAGTATTATTCCTTTCATTCCAAATTTTCGCAAAACATCTTACAAAATGCAATTATTTTGTGGCAGTCTATATTTTCGGGAAATTTCTCAAACATCGCAACTGAGGAAAAGTTTCTGAAAACCAGTTATGAAGTAGAATAAAATGTACGCTTTGGGAAAGAAAGGTTTTGACTTTCTCCATCTTCAATCAAAAAATCTAAGTGTTTTTCATAGATGTCAATAAATTTCATAGAACTGAAAGAAGTAAATGGATGTTTTCATCACTGTGTTTCTGTCTTCAACTGGATTCCAGATTATAGCAAAATATTTTCTCAAAAGTAGTTTATATTCATTAATATTTACTTTCACCGATTAGCATCTTCAAATGGCATTAGGTATCTTCTCTAGATCTCGTGAAAAAGTTATTCGCAACTCACCTTGAATCTCAAATCTCCAATCGGCGCCTTTCCATAAGGAATCCCACTGAAACTATAAAACTTTCCACCATGGTAGTCCTCCTGGATCTTTCCTCGAACTTTCCCTTCTTCTACGGTCACTACGATATCGTCAGACATGTCTGCAATGCGAGCTGGACGTTAACTGTATCGGGAACGGTCTCGTCGGTTTTAAAACGGTTGAACGGCTTCCGCGGCGGTGTTTCGCTAACTTTGATGATGCCTGGCCCGGCTTTTGTGTATAAATACATTTCGTATCCGTACACCGATTGTGGAGTTTGTTATCTCTGGTCCACGTGTAGAGATAGGCTAACGCGTGATATTTTGCTCATTTTTCATCCTTCGGAGGAGGTCAGGGGAATCGAGAAAAATTTTGTATTCAGGACCTTGTCTAGTTGTGATAAAGAAAAATGAGTCGTAGAAGAAAAGGAGATACTCACGTATTTGCTTGATGAGCTAAATCATACCGATGAAGTTATACAGAATAACTGACATCAAGAAACTTGCAACCGGAACAATTTTGTAATGGTGTATTTCTCAAGCAGCGGAGTGACGAATCATATTCAAGGTGCCGATCTATAGGCGTAGGGACACTATTGAGTCAAGTAAACAGTGAAAAATGTTTTCATTTTAATATTCAATGTTGTGGTATGACGTGATATAACAAATCTCAATAGCCTTTTAAGGTGAACATCCACGATGAAACTAAAATGTAATGAAAATTTCATTTCACGAAACATTTGTTTCATGGTGCGTATTCACGAGGAGATCAAAATTTCTCCACTCGCGATTGTTTGAAATTTTTAATTCATGAGAGATGAAGTACAGTAATCTGTTGTTTTCACGGTGACTTAGTTGGTTCGTTGTTTAGAAGAAAAGCTGCAGCTTGTTATTACTTATTAGCTTCGCAAACAAAGTGATCTCACAAAAAATTTGGGTACGCGATTGGAGTGAACAAAGAGAAAACCACAATTTAATGAATAATCTATTGGAATAATTAGAACGAGAGGATGATAAATGTTACAAGAATTTTCACAGGATGTCTACTGCTGACTTTCAGTATTTACTTTCTCCAAATCGAATTGTTTTTTATGTGACATAGGGAGATATTTACAATTTTATGTATCAATGAACATTCTGCAACATTTTGTGAAAATCTCCCAAGTGAGTATTTCCAATTCTCAACCCAGTACAACATAGTTTCAAAATGAAATGCTACTCTTCTATGTTCTATTTTTTCAGTGATTAGGTCTACCATAGATTTCATATTGTTGGGAACATGGCCTAAGCTTTCTAACTATAAACCAAAAATAGTACAGTCTATTCTGGAAAAATATCAAGATAGAATTTAGGCCAACAAAAGTATGCGAAAGTATGAAGGACTCCAGAGAATTAACCAATACTAGATGTGTACCAGAAACATTGAATCTATAGGTCTGTTTTCAATCGAACCAACAGAAATGAAGTCATTTTCATGAACAGTGTAGGCTTGAATCACAAATAACCACTTTCGTGTTATCATCTTTGGAAATGTTGACTGCAGTTTTGAACAGAATATTAGGCATGAAAACCTGCAGACCATGACCATTAAATCCAACTGGTAGATTTGATATGATCCCAAGAAGAAATGTGGCAGATATTGAAAGACATTATACTTGACTATTTATATTGCGCTGGTGCTTTGTCGACATCTATCGTTGAGATATGCATTGCAATCTGTGCTATGGTTTAAAACTATTGAAAAATGTTTTCGAAAGATTGAAAATGAAGTTGAGAATGGTAAAACGATAACATTGAAGAAAAACGTCAAACTTACACGAACCATCTATAAATGATCTTATAAGAAAACAAGAAAATACATTTCTACAACTGAGAGATATGGTTAAAAGATGAGATAAGGTGCTTTCAGATCAGAAAACAATACTTCATGAAGAAAAAAACAACGACGTTTAAGGACCAACTGAAAGAAAACACAGTATCTGAAAAGAGGTACCTGAGACTGATGTTGAAGAGAAACCACCTATACTGAGTCACAAATCACAAAAACGTCTGAGAGTTGTACAAGCGATGCGACCGTTTCTAAAAATGGCAAACAAGTAATACAAGGGAAACAGAGGATGAGGACATAATCAGGAATCTATGAAATAAAGCGTACAGCTTACAGATTACAAACACAGAGTTCAGACAAGGGGTGTTAGAAGGTAAATAACTTGGTCTATCCCCAATAATTAGCACCAAGAAGGTACCAATAGGATGAGCTATTTGGGACGGAGTGACTCGTAGGGGAAAGCAAATAAGTGAAATACTCTGGGTACCAAATTTCGATCAAACATGGATAAAAAATGGAATAGTTGGGCAAACATTGATCAGAAAGCGTGAAAGCTGGCAAGAATATTAGATCAGAAAGATCAGTTCAACTTCAGTCAAGTGACAGAGTGTTGGTAACAATAGTAATAAATTAATTTTGGTATTCTGAGCAACTGAATAGAATGTGTATTAGTTGAGTGTACCACTTTTAAAAAATACACAAAAGCGAAATCAATTTTTCTCAGGTGAATAACTTGAGGAAACGAAAGAAAACTTTCAGTTATTTGCCCATGTCGGTTTCCACCGAAATAGTTTTCGTGAAATTTTGCAAATGCAGGATTTGTGAGCATGGCTTGTGTGTATAAGTGTGTGTGCTATGTTGAGGTTATGTTATATTCTCAGTATATTATCATTCCATAATGAGTCGCCTTGACTTGATAACGATAAACAGAAGGTGGGGCATACATGTTATATCTTGAACTCGTATCTGGACTATTGGAGAAACTCAATGACGATGGAGGTGCATAAATATGCAGGCTGTTGCAGACTAATTGTGCAACATAGCAGAAAACTCACGCGGTTAAGACATGGCCTTGTGATACTTCCGTTGCAGCCGATCATCTTGGCGAATTAAACTTTCACAAGGGGTCAATGAACACTTCAAAACATGAACGAATAATGCGCTTTTGTCGCAATTGATATATTTCCATGAAAACATTATAGTCCGGTCAAATAATATAAGAAAAATAGGAGTAAAGCTACATAAATTCGTACCAAGCTGAATATCAGTAAGATTGTTCAAAATATGAATTAAAATGAAATTTGAAAGTTCCCCATCCTTCCCCTGTATGGAAAAATTTTTATTCATTGTCAAATGTCGAAAAAATCAGTTTTTCGCGATTTTCAGCAAAACGGTAAGTTTTATCATGAAAATATTTCCGAAAAAATTGTATATCATAGAATCATCTACAAAAAATGTATAACAATACTTGATACATTTTTTGTAGATAATTTCATGGTCTACAAGTATTTTTATGATTAAACTTACCGTCTTGCTAAAAATCGCGAAAAACTCATTTTGTTTACTTTTGACCTTGAATACAAATTTTTTCAGTTTAGTTTTCAGTTTGGTGAGAATTTAGGTAGCTTTGAATGTCTAAATTGACCGGACTTATCATTTGAATTCACTATTCATTTATTTTCTACTCACTGTACTCCTATAGTACGAGGTAAGAATGAAGAGTTTTAATAGAGACACCACTTCCGTGAAAAGCAATGATGAAGTACAAGGTAGTTGAACGAAAATGCAACAGAATCATCATCTGCAACTCCAGCAACATTCTAAGAAAGAATAAAAAAATTAAATTTCTGTTCGAAGGAAGGCACCGTATCGTTTCAGCGCCACATCCACCTCGATTGGGTGACAAATCCCTAAAAAGGAGTCTAGTAGCGAGATTTAATTTTTCATTGTTTACTGGTAAACTGAATACAGAAGTGTAAAACTTAACCCATAGAAGATAGCAAAACAAAAGGAGTAGTGTTAGGCCAGTCGATCGATTCTTCCACATTTCCCTAGAAAATAATAAATCGTTGAGAGAAAATCAACCTACTTACGATAAAGTAAGTACCTATAACCTATATAAATAATTGATACTCATAATACCATTGGCTGAACAAACGTAAACTGAAAAGATTCATTTCATTCACTAGGTTGTATCATTGGTGAGTCAACCAACTTTTTTGGGTTTTTTGAAGGAATTCAGAGGCAGCAAAATTGAAAATATCCAGTAAGGATAGAAGGAGGATTTGAATATTTCTTTATTATGCATTGGAATATCAAGAAGATTCTTTCTTCTCAATCATCGTGAATAACGATGGTCTACCAATACCTATATAGCTTGTTGAATTTACATTTTATTCATCATGTCATATCAACATTGTAATAATAAATAAAGACAATTGAAATGCAGGTGCCTAGCAGGGGTATCTATGATATAAATGATGATTACGTTGTTTGTATATTTATTATATTTGGTGATCGAAATACGAGTCGAGGTGTCGATAATGTGATAGACAGAATAAACAACGAAAATTCTTTGAAGAAATGATGAATTCAAATAATGAATCCAATAATTTCACGTTTTCCAGAAGTGGTAATGACAGCGCATCATTTTTTTATTAAACTCCTCGCTGCTTTAGACAATTAAAATTTTCAGAGGGAATCTCCTACCTTGAATGAAAAAAAGTATTAATTTGAGCAAACAAAATCCAATTTCATCATCAAACGTGAATTCGATGCGGCGTTAAATTTTGAACATTGTTAATTGGAATTCGTTCTCCTACTTCCGTCGTTTAATTGAATTATCCGTAAATTGCAATCAAACAATTCCTTCGTAGGATTGCTTTTTTCGAAAAATTACGGTTCAATTGAAATAATACTCAGTTTTGTTACTTCTCATCTGAATTCAATTACCAACCCCTCATTCATTCTTAGAAACAGAGATCCATCAGTACAACGTTTTGGTTCCCAAAATTGAAATGGAAAAGCATAGTGAAAGATTTTGTTGAATACATTTTTTTTTAATAGCTTGAACCCTTTAACTCTGCAATTCGAACGTACGATGGGGGACTATTTATATTTCGAGAAATGGCAACATTAATGTGGCAACGTCATAATGAAGTTTGACAGTTTTCAACATAAACGTACTCACAACTTTTTGATGTACAACTGCTATTTGTTTTGTTTACAGTGAGTTGAGAAAATTAATTAATAGTGAATTCAATCGTGGTAGTAGTTCGGTCACCAACGAATTCCGTGAAGGTCGTCCAAAATCAAAATTCAACAAAAATAATTGAATTGATCGACCGTGGTGCTTGAAAAGACGTGTATAAAGTCGTGTTAGGTGAAACCAAAACAGCAATCCGCCGTAT